GAAGGAAAGGCAAGTTAATGCAACTCTTTGCAAATCAAGAAGGGGATGTGAGCACAAAAAAATCGAAAATACGAAAAAAATCGAAAAAAACAAGTTCAAACCACAAGTTGAACTGGCTCCGTTCAAATAAGACTTCGCACGCAGCTTCGCATGCAGCAACTGCATGCAGCTTTGCATGCATCTGCAGTGAGCTGGTTAAAAGGGCTTTCTTCTGTTGAAGTTCAACTGCTTTTGGAGATGATTGTCTTGGACTGAAAAGCCCTTCTCCTCACCTTGACGGCCAGCCGCAGGTAAGGGTTTTCGGAGACCAAGGCACGGCGGCCGTGCTTCTTGGTGCGCCCCCTGTTCTTCAAGTCGATTCCCTGCGGGAGCAACGCACAGCAGAAAGCAGTCCAAAAGTGCCTTCTTTTCTGAATTTTGTGCTGCGACTGCAAAAATTGGGACATCTTTGACGCAAAATTCAAAAAATATTCAAAAAATGTTCAAAAATATTCAAAAATATTCAAAAACGGAGCCGAAGTGAAGAAGAAGTGCCCAAGAGGGCATGAGCATTCTGCGTCGGCGGAGATGCGCGGCGCCGTCCATACACCCGAAGACCTCAGCAAACCGCTCGTGGAAAGCGTTCTGAAGAGTTCAGTTTTAATTATTAAGGAGAGCAAAACTTGAATTTTTCGGGGAAAGCCGGAGCTGCAGCTGCTGCTGCGCCGCTGTAGCAGCTGCTGCTGGCCTCCCCGCAGCGGCTCGCGGGCGTTTCCGAAGGCGATCTGCGAGTTTCGGAGGAAAACTTTGCAAAGTTTTGCAAAAAAGGCGAAAAACAATTCAAGTTTCCGCGAGAAAGCTCGAGATCGCGGCCCTCCCCACAGGAAGCTGCGCCGGCGGGCCGCGGAAAGCTTACCATTTTGCGGGGCGGAGCTGCTGCGGGGCGGCGGCGAAAACGCGAAGTTGCAAAAACGTGAATTTCCAACTTTTGCAAATCCGCAGTTTGCGGCCAAGTCTGAGAGCTGCTGCAGTGCAGCTTTCTGCATGCAGCGGCCCCACAGCCCGAGCGGCTTCGCTGCTGCGGCGGCTCTTCGCGGCAGTTCTTTCTCCGTTTTCTTTTATTTGTTTCTTTGTTTTCTTTATTTTGAAATCTCCAAAAGGGAGAGTTTGTTCTCCTTTCGCCGGGCGTGCCAAGGCGGCGCGCCCGCTGCTGCTGCTGCTGCTGCTGCTGCTGCTGCACTTGGAAAGGCTGCTGCTGCTCGAGGGTACGGGGAAGCGGCTTCTGCGAATTCTTTACTTGAATGCAAAAGGTTTTCTTTTTGTTTTAATTCTTTTATTTATTTAAATCGAATTCATGGGCAACATTGATCCCTTTGCTGCAGCGGGTCTTGCATGCAGCTCCATTAGCAGCAAGACTCGCACCACTGAAGTGGCTCTCCAGGTAGCTAGCTAGCCACAATAGCTAGCTAGCTAGCTAGCTAGCAGCTGCAGCTAGCTAGCTGGCCACGGCAGCCAGCTAGCTAGCTAGCTAGCCACGGCAGCTAGCCAAGAGTGTTTTCTCTCAAACTTGCAAATTGGCTCTGAGACAAAACTGTTTAGTTTGGCTCGGGAAAAGTGAAATTGAATTATTCTCTTTTAAGCGTTATTGTTATTATCTTATATTAGTATTATTATCATTATTATTATTATTATTATTAATAATACTAATAATAATAATAATAATAATAGTAGTAGTAACAATAATAATAATAATAATAATAATAATATTAGTATTATCATTATTAGTATTATTATTAGTATTATTATTAGTATTACTATTATTAGTGTATTACTATTATTATTATCATTATTATAAATCTTATTATTATTCTGCTTAAAATGTTATTATTATGTTACGTTATTGTTATCATTATATTCAAAATAATGTTGGTATATTATGTTTGTACCGTTATCTTCTAAATATTATTATTATATAATGTTGTTATTATTATTATTCTACTTAAAGTGTAATTATTATATTATGGTATTGTTATCCAAAATTTTATTATTATATTATGTTTGTACCTTTGTCTTTATCTTTTAAATGTTACTATTGTTATTGTTTTATATTAGTTTTATATATAGAATGCTACTATTATATAATGTTAATATTATTATTATGCTATCATTAGTATGTTTAAATGTTATTATTAAATGTTATATTATGTTATTATCATTATATTTTAAATATTATTATTATATCATGTTATTATTGCATTTTAAATGTTATTACCATTATATTATATTGTTACTATGATTATTTATTTAAAATACTATTATTATAGTATGTTATTATTCTTGTATTTTAAATGTTATTATTATTGTATCATGTTATCATTTTTATGTTTAACATATTATTATTATGCTATAATTATTATATTTCAGATGTAATTCAAAGAACAACAGGCTTAATGAAAAGCTGCTGCGCTGCAGCAAAACATTGCTGCTGCTTTCGCTGCAGCAAAACATTGCTGCTGCTTTCGCTGCAGCAAAACTTTGCTGCTGCTTTCGCTGCAGCAAACCTTTGCTGCTGCCCGAAGTTACAAGTTTGACATTGGGGGCTCAAAGGAGCGTTTCAAGGCTTAGTAAACCCTAAACCCTAAACCCTAAACCCTTGAATAGTTCTTTATTAAAATTGCAAACTTTAACATTAGGGGCTCAAAGGAACGTTTAAAGCCCTAAAAAACCCTAAACCCTAAACCCTAAAGCCTAGGATTAAAAGAAAAAAGAAACTCTGAACCTTTAATCGAGAAGCCTAAACCGTAAACCCTAAACCCTAAGCCCTTGAATGGTTCTTCATTTGGCATTCAGCCTTCCCCTTCCTTTGGCGGTCTCTCTGAGATGAAACTCCGCATCAAAAGTATTTCTTGAATTCTGAAAATGCATATTTTGGTTTTAAACTTTTGGACTTCAGTTGCTTTCATTCAATAAAAAGTCGAGACCAGAAGAAGGCCCCCAGGGGCGCCCAAGAGGGTTCAGTTCCAAAACTTCTGCTGCTTCAAGGGGGGGCCCGGGGGCCCCCTGGCAGTACCCTCTGGCAGGTTGGCTTTGAGGCAAGAAAGCAAAAGCTGCAGAGAGAGCTGCGGGGGCCCCCTGAGACCTTTTTGTGCAGCTTTTCTTCTGCATTTTACTTCGAATTAATTAAATTTAATTTGTTTTCGATTTGGAAGAAAGTTCAGTTAAACTCTTATCTAGTTTTCGCGTTTCGAATCTGCGCCGCGGCAGGCTGTGGCTGGCGCAGCAGCTTTTGTTCGAAAACCCTCGAAATCCGGAGCGCAGTTACGAGGGAATAAAACAAACAAACAAACAAACAAATAAATAAATAAATAAACGAAAACGAACAAATTGGAGTGTATGCACACCCCGAAAGCCTAGATGTGCCCGGTGAGATGGCGGGAAGTACAGGAAGTACATTCAGGCTTGCTGGGGGGGATTTTGTCTTTGTGGAGCTAAGGAGCAGCAGATCTTCGCGGGATCTTTTATTTTATTAAAAAAACTGCATTTACTTGGCTTTGAAAAAGAAGATCGGGCTTTGAATGCAGGAGGAGCAGCAGCAGCGCAGCAGCCGGGGCCCCGCACCCCACATGAGTGCTTCCTGTTGAAGCTGGAGGGAAGCAGCAAGCCCGCCACCGGTTTCTTTTGCGAAGAGAAGAGAACTAGGAAGTTTGTTGTTTAATTTTGCATGTATTTAAGCTTCGAAAGGGTTTTAATCTCCCCGCGGCGGCGACAAGTGGTTTTCCAGTTCGCCTCCCGAGCCACTGGCACTGAGCAGTTCTGGGCTTCTTTCCAGCCAGCTTCTTCTACAATGAGGGGTGCGCGCGGAACCACCTGCTTCGCTTCTTCAAACTGCGTCGAAAAGGGGCTGTAGAGCCTCCGCGTGGGGGTGTCGAGGTGCTGCTGCTGCGGCGCGTCTGCTGCTGCGGCGCGTCTGCTGCTGCGGCGCGTCTGCTGCTGCGGCGTGGCTGGTGCTGCTGTGCGGGTTGCGGTTGTGTTTGTGCGGGTTTTGCTGTTCCGGGCGGTAAGAGCTGCTGCAGCGGCGCGGCGGGTCGGAGCCGGTGCTGGTGCCTCTGCGGGAGGCCGGCGGAGCTGCATGGTGTCGGGGGGCCGCGAAGCAGGTTCTGTTGCGAGGTGTGGCGGCGTGCTGCTGGTGCTGCGTGCGTTGCTGCTGGTGAGTGCGTTGCTGCTGCTGCGGCGTGTGCCGCTGCAGGAGGAGGAGGCTTGCGAGGCGGGCGCGGGGCCCGGGGGGGCGGGGCCCGCGGGGGCCGGGGCGGGGGTAAGTGCGCGGGCAGTGGCAGCAGAAAGTGGCGAGCGCGCAGCAAAAAGTAGCCGGCGAGCGCAGACCCAGCTTGCAGCCCACCGGCAGAAAGCCCTCCCGCAGCCG